AAAAGAAAAGCCGATAATGAGCAGATCAACGGCTTTTCTTAACCCTTGGCGTTCTCGGGAGGCTGCGGCGAGGCTGCTGGCTCTTCTCCTCCACCTCGGCTCGTAGGGTTGAGGTAAAGCCAAGCGGTGGTAAGGCAGATATCTCCCGGGTGTCACCCAACAATTCCATAAATCTGGAGTGAAATGCAGTCGGAATAATGAGAAAGCCTTTCCTAGGGCGGGCGGGAGGAAGGGAGCCCTGGATGAGGCTGCGGCTATAAAAAGTTGCTTTCCAGCTCATCTAAGATTTCGTTTCTGAGCTGAGCCGTGAGGCAGGAGCGAGTGGGCAAACAAACTGTGGAGACGTTTTCGATTGTAGCTTCACCACCTGTCCTTTTCCCGGCTTCCCGACACTGGGAAATTGCCCGGAATTTAGAGGGCACGTTTGCCCGGCCGGGAGAGGCGGAAGATGCGAGTGCGGACAGACAGCCGGGCTGTGGAAACCCTCCGCTGACACTGCTGTAGCCACGATTCTTTCCCATCTTCCTTTCCTCAGCAAGAGAAATAAACGTGTTTGAAACCACTACCATCACCTGCAGGGAGCTTGGGAGTTTTTCCCCCTTTTTTCTTTTTTTTTCCCCTTTTTTTTTTTTTTTCCTGAAACACGAGCACTTAATAAAGTAATTAGAAAAGCTCGAGATTTGGTTTGGTTTTCCTAAATCCCTGCCATTCTCGGAACAGGCTGTGGGATCTGGGGGACCACGGAGCTTCCCCCGCCCGCCCCGGGGACGCCCCGCCGGGACGGCTCCTGCCTCCGTGCCCGGGCTCCGAGCCCCCCGCCAAACAGGGCGAGACGCTTCATCCCGTGATGGAGAGGAGATGCTGAGCGGTTTTCGCCTATCCTGGCGATTTCCATTTTGCTGAAGCTCGAGGAAACAGGGATTTTATTGAACCTGGAGTTCAAGGACGCTCCCTCTCACGTTTCACCGTCTTAATAAAGTTGCGAAGTGCCCTACTTCCTCCGCTTGCTTACCAAATCCTGAATTAATAAAGTTTACTTAGCTATTTAAATAGATTAAATGTCACATTTTAAATGGAAGGGGAAGGTTCTACCTTACTGACCTATTTTTCATTTCTGATTTAGAAAAAGGCAAGATTAGCATGGATATTGCATTTTCAAGGACCTCGCCACTATTAAATAGACTGTTAAGTGCATTTTATGGCTGAAGAGTCTGTTCCCAGTTCAGTCCGGAAGACGTGCTAAGTTCATCTCTACCTGCTACATTGAACATTCACTGACTAAAATACTTTCTGTGGATGTAATACCTATGCTCAGTATCTCTTAAGTACATAACGCTTGATGTTTTAGGACTGGTAAAATGTATTTCAGTGGAAGTCCCTGGAATAGAAGTGTTGGCTCTCAAGAAAACTGGATGGCGAGTGTTTGGCCAATTGCATGAAATTCAATGCACCCGGTTCGGTGCAGAGGTGAGATCAAGGGAGGGGAGGCTGCGGGGATGGCAGATGAGGATGCTCACGGCTCCAGACGGAGTGTTCCGCGGAGGCTTAAGCTCCGCGGAGATTTAAGCGCCTGTCAGACACAGCCCCGGGGGATGCGCTAAACGACAGCGCGGGGGCCGAGCCTTGTCCGCAGCCGCGGATCCGCGGGGATGGGCGGTGTTAACTTCTGCGCGCTACTCGCTGTGTTTCCTCAGCCTTTTAAAATCGCTTGGAATTACACCCCCGGAATGGCAAGACTGTTTTACCGCCTTCCTGGGCCGTGCTGACCTGCCGGGAGCCGGCGAGGACGGGCCCCAGAACACTCCTCACCCGAGGGAGCTCCTGCAAAACCGCCCGAGGAGCCCCAGGAGACAAAATCCTATTGAATTCCCCGGGGAACTGTCCCTCTGCCCCGGACCCGCAGTGGGGGAATGAAAAAACCGCACCTCCCCTAAAGCAAGTCTCTGTGGCGTTTTTCCCGGTGTGGGAGACCCCCGAGGGTCCCACGCAGGACGTGGCTCTTCCCAGACCGCAAATCTCGCCCTCCTTCCTTTGTTTCTGG